CGATATCCGCGAGCGAATAGCGAATCAGCGAATCAGACATTCTTCAACTGAGACTCACAAAAAAAGGAAGAGAATTCGTTTGTGCGGCAATATAACATGTGCCGATATTAGAAAGATCGGAACAAATGATTGGTACAAATGATAGCATATCGCGATTTAAAAAGGCATGAATCTGTAGATAATTGTGAATTGCTGCGTGCGTTTCGGTTCATTTCTTTATCGTGCGATTGATGCAAAGATATTAATGGACTAGATGTGTCAACATTCTATTGAAAATAATTTTTCGGAGGAAAGGATAAAATCTTGTTTTTATTTAAAAAATTATATTAGAAATTTTGTTTTTAAAACTATTTTTGAAACTATTTTTTAAAATTAAATATAAAAATAATAGAATAGTAGAATAATAGAATAATAAATTTAAAATAAAGATTAAGGAACTTGAATGATGGTAAACTGATAATGTTTGTGTTTAAAACACAATGTTTATAATTTTATTATGTTTATAATTTTATTTATTTGGACAAATGTGTTTAAAACACATCCATTCCCTCCGCTGGTTTACCATCTGGTTCATACCGAAATACACGGTGAATCTTGATGCTCCAACCTTTTACCATAGGAAGAATTACCGACTGTAATCTATTTTCGATCCATGATGGTAACTGCTTGAATCGAAAATAGATTACAGTCGGTAACTCCATAATAGCAATTATGCTATTTAAATAAAATATTTATTTTTCGAGTTTCGTATCTCAATATTTTTACGCACGGAATAATGAAACAAATCAATCAATAGATAAAAAGAACGCATAGTTACTTTTCAAAAAGGATATTTGTGCATTGCACAAAATATTTAATTAAATATTATTTTTTGTCAGAATAAAATATGAAATAATTTTTAAGTTAACACAATTTGATTTTATGGTAATAAAAGAAAAATTGCACCTATTAATATATATATATAAAAATATAGAATTCTATTTAAATATATAAAGACAATGTTCGAGATACCTTCAATTGATTATCCGAGATCGAATCAATTATATTATTTAAAGATTTCGTTGATTATGTGAAAATGTATATCTTATCTATATCAGAACAATATTTTTCATGAAATCAACATCTCTGACAAGATAAAAATGGACTACTCTGTATATAACGTAAATAGCGTCGATATAGCGTGATGAAACACTTTCATTGTTGCATATATTTATGAGAAATGAATTGATAATGAATTGAATAATTGGCATGTTAATCAAAATAAGCAAATATTTATATATAAGAGCAAATTAATATGATAATAGACTAACGATTTGTTGACTAATGTAAATGTCATCTTTCCTTATTTTATATTGTATGTATGTATCAATCACTTTTTATAAACTTAATTAAACGTGCAAGAATATATTAGTTCGTTCTCTCTCTCTC